CATATCTTGCCAGTGCTTAAACTGAAAGTGATTATCAATATTTATCGATTACAAAAAATTTGAAGATTCTTTTAATACTAAATGAAATTATACTAATTAGCTAATGTCATAAATAAAGGTAAAAATGTCAGTTTCAGTAACCAAAGCAAACGAGAGAATGTTCGAAGAGAGCATACCTTGTATTACCTTTAAACATTATTGAGTCGTATAAATAGGGCAGCAGGACTTTAAGCATTGAACTCGAACCCTCAACCTTATTTGATACCATTTAAGATCATATATAGGGATCAATAATATTTATATATTTTTCTATTCCTTATATTATTCGAAATAAATCCTACAGGTTTCCAATTCGATTTCGAATTCTTTAAATGTTGAGTATATAAATACACCAATTTCGGGTCAATGAACTACCTGGCAGAGTATAATTACAAATATCTTACGCATGTCCCATGCTTACTCAACATTTTTATTATATACCATCTCTGGGCATTTGTAATAGGTATACAAGCAACAGCAGATGCAGCATCAACAGCAGCTGGAGCTTTACAAATGACACATAAATTTTTGACAACGACTTAACGACATGTTGAATGATAGACACAATTAGGACATCCACTTTTTACATAAATAGAATTCCTAAAGATAACTCTGTGCGATTGAGTATTATTATATAGATATTGCTTGAAATACTTACTCCTTGAATGCAATTACATTTCATTATCCAAGCTCGGTGTCGTAATCACATTAGTTTGCAAATTCTCTTGATATGTTTCGATTCTTTATTCAATTTAGATAACGTTAAGCAACTAAAATTCCAATTCCATTTACCGAATTAGATTTAGGTGAAAACTATTTGAACATCGTATTTCATTAAATTGAACTTTTGTTTTTCTTTTTCTTTATTTATTTGTATTATTTTCTTGATTAGCTTCTCTGCTCGAAACGAACAACTCACTCGAGTTGAGCGGTCGGAACAAACTAAAAACACGCAACACATTCTAAAATGGAAAATGTGTGGAAGATCGCCAATATTATAAAAATAGCTAGGAAATAATGCAGCTATATTTGAAGTTTGTATGAAAGGGGACCAATAAAATTTCAGAGCTGCTCAATTTATCTATAAAAGGTTATTTACCATTTTCTCTCTTTTTATCTCATTTCTAGTTACAAGCATTAACTAATTTTAATTAATTCTGAATTTCCAAATGCATCTATAACGGTTACATTCAAATCATTCATATGCCACGGCGTAGCAATCGATAGGGTATTGCGACAAGCTGCAGTATTTTCTGTTCGATATAAATATAAAAATACTTAATTATTGCAA